TTACGTATGCACGTATATGCTTCAATCTTGCTGGCAACCACGTCAAGCTGCATGGATTCCAATACAAGTCCGAACCAATAAATAACCATATTTGATTTCACTTCTTTTCTCCTCACGCGTATGGCATCTGAACTCTCGGACTTGCCTGGATTGCTTTGTATCTTTACCATGTCCCGGCCAACACTTAATTAAATAAGAAATTGGTCACCTTCCTGCTTCCTTGACCGTCAACCAATATCGCACCTTCCTTGGACTTTCATGCTTGATGCGTGTCGTAGATCTACACGTGCACAGCTTCCTATTTTAGACTCCCTAGGATATACACAACACCGCTTAACTGGCCACACATGTATGCACGTTATATCTGAATCTCTGAATCCTTCACGTACGCAGGTCACCAGGCAAGTGACGTGATGCACTTTGCTGTGTCGTCCCTTGCCAATTATTTATAGTATAACCTTTTCTAATTGACAATGGAAACTGATCTGGCCTGGCTCGTGTAGCAGTTGAACCCACCGACCTTCCTGTTTGTTCCGACAGCTCTCCAAAATGCCACGCATGAACGGTATTGGCCGATTCCTTCCTTTTTAAGCTAAGTTTGCCAAATTTTGGTGTCAACAGATAGAGGACGAAGGAGGCAACGCCAGCCTATACCTAGCAGCTCCAATCCGTTCCAGAATCTTGTAAGGGCCAAAGAAATGGAAGGACAATTTCTGGTTTGCACGCTTGGCCATGGAGGATTGCACGTAAGGCTGTAATTTGAGGAATACCCCGTCACCCACTTCAAATCGGCGCTCAGAGCGGTGCTTGTCTGCCTGGTGCTTCATGCGGGTTTGAGCACGGCTGAGATGCTGTTGTATCAAGGAGTGCATAACAGCACGCTCATCCAACCAACTATTAAGATCAGAGACGGGGGTTGCTTCAGGAGGAACAATGCCAAAGTGGCGAGGGGGAAAGCCATATAAAACTTCGAAGGGTGAGCGACCTAGAGAAGAGTAGTATGAAGAGTTATACCAGAATTCGGCAAGGGAGACCCACTGAACCCATTTGAAAGGACAAGCATGAGCAAAGCATCGTAGGTAGGTTTCGAGGCATTGATTTACCCGCTCAGTTTGCCCATCCGTCTGCGGATGATATGCAAAGCTCATACGCAAAGAGGTGCTAGTGATGGAGAAAAGATGTTTCCAAAAGGCACTTGAAAAATGCGGTCGCGGTCGGAAACAATGGCCAAAGGCATACCGTGAAGTCTGTAGATATGATCCATGAACAGACGGGCCACTGTTGCAGCGGTGAAGGGGTGGCGTAGCGGTATGAAGTGTGCAAATTTGGACAGCTTATCCACGACAACCAAAAGAGCATTTGCTGAGCCAGAACTTGGAAGGCCTTCCACAAAATCAATACTGATAACCTACCATGATGATGTTGGTATAGGCAGTGGATGTAGGAGTCCTGGAGACTTACTGCGGTCCGGTTTAGCACGCTGACATGTATCGCACTAGCGAACAAAGGCAGCAGTAGCAGTATGCATACCCAGCCAAAAGAATAACTGGCGCAGCTTCTGGTAAGTAACCGGCGCTCCTGAATGGCCACCCAAGGGGCTATCATGCATAGCAGTGATGACTTGTTGAAGCTGAGGGTCATGAGCCAACCAAATACGTCCCTTGTAACGGATGACGCCATTGTGGAGGGAGAAGTTGGGCAATGCTCCTGGAGAGACCGCCAATTGAGTCAGCAGCTTTTGAGCCTCAAGATTGCCTTCATAAGAATCTAGAACTGCTGAGAGCCACTGAGGTGAAGCATAAGATATTGCCATCAAGGATTCCTCCATATCGCGGCGCGAAAGAGCATCAGCAACAGTATTATATGAACCCTTCTTATACACAATCCTGTAGTTTAATCCCAGCAGCTTGGTAAATACCTTCTGCTGCCACACTGTATTTAGACGTTGTTCATTCAAGTGTGTTAAACTTTGGTGGTCTGTGTGGATAAAGAACTCTCCTTGTAGAAGATAATGGCGCCAATGTTCTACTGCAAGTAATATTGCCAAATATTCCTTTTCATAAGCAGAGAGGCCTCGATTGCAAAGACAAAGAGTCTCGTTGATGAATACAATTTGATGTCCATCCTGGTGAAGAACTGTACCGATTCCCACACCGGCCACTTGCATCTGTGCCAATGTGCAAGGGCTTCTGGAAGTCGAGCAAAGCCAGAACTGGGGCCGAACTTAAGGCTGACTAGAGGGCTTCAAAAGCAAGCTGTTGAGCCGGCGTCCAGAGGAACGGCGCATCCTTCTTCAACAACTGAGTCAATGGATGTGCTAGAATACCAAAGTTACGCATGAATTTGCAATAATAGCCCGCAAGTCCCAAAAACCCCGGCAGCTGCCGAACATTTGTTGGGATTGGCCAATCCGAATTGCTTGAATCTTGGTCGGATCCATGGCCACACCATCCACACTCAGCACATGTCCGAGGTATGATATAGAGCGCTGAACAAACAAGCACTTGGACATTTTAAGCTTCCACTGATCTTGCCGAAGCCATGTTAACACTTGTCGAAGATGGTCCATACATTCTTCCAATGAGGAGCTATACACGAGGATGTCATCAAAGAACACGATGACAAACTTGCGTAGTCCAGGGGCTAAGATGCAATTCATCGCCCCTTGGAAGGTTCCAGGAGCACTAGTCAGCCCGAATGCCATTGCGCGCGGACTCATAGTGACCGAAATGCGTTTGAAACGATGTTTTATGCTCATCACCTTGTTGCAGCAATATCTGATGAAACCTGCTCTGAGATCTAATTTAGAAAACCAGCTGGCCTGATGTAATTCATCAAGAATCTAGTCAATCACCGGCACTGGATACTTGGACTTAACAGTAAGAGAATTGAGCTTGCGGAAATCCACACAGAACCTATATGAGTCGTCCTTTTTCTTGACCAAGAGCACCGGAGAAGAGAATAAACTTGTGCTTGGCTGAATCAGCCCTTGGGACAACATCTCCTTGACCCGGTGAAAGCTCTAGTTTGGTTTTAGTGAATTGATGAAACCCTAGGTGCTAACCCATTGCTCTAAGTGATCATGAGATAGGTAGTACATTCCAAGTGGTGGAGCAAACGATGAAGATCACGGTGGTGGTGATAGCCAAGGTGATCAAGTGCTTGGGCTTGGAAAAGAAGAAAGAGAAAAACAAAATTGGCTCAAGGCAAAGGTGATATCCATAGATACTCTTTGTATTTTGGTGATCAAGATACTTAGCGAGTATGATCATATTTAGGATAGATAGACGTACTATTAAGAGGGGTGAAACTCATATCGGAATGCGGTTATCAAAGTACCACTAGATATTCTAACTCATTGCATATACATTTAGATTCTAGTGAGTGCTAATACCCTTGAAAATGTTTGAGAAAATATGCTAACACACGTGCACAAGGTGATACATTTGGTGGTTGGCATATTTGATCAAGGGTGGCGAAGTTGAAGTTGAGAAGGTGATGGTTACAGCGACCGGACGCTGGACCGGTGCGTCTGGTCAGTTGGTGCGTGGTGGCATGGCCTCGGTCATATGACCAGACGCTGGGCGACGCGTAAGAACAGACATGCAGGGCATGTGTCCGATCGCTGCTGACGTACGCTGACGCAAGCGGTTTCACGAGGAGGAAAGGAGCGAACGCTGGACTGCGTCAGGTCATGCTTGATCGGACACGTCCGATCACGTTTTGTTGGCTCTAGAACCCCTCTAGAGTTGACCTGACTACGCATGGCGCAACATCAGGTGGCGGCGTGGTGCGTCTGGTCATCGCGTGCGTGCGTCCAGTCGTCTCTCGACCATTGGTGCAAGTGAGTTGGCAGTTGAGATCGAACGGAGGAGCTCGAACACGGGGCACACGTGGCTGAGATCCTGGAACCAGACGCTGGGTGGCGTGCGTCCGGTCACTTTGACCAAGGTATCTGATCGCCCCGATTTCAACACTGACTTGAGCCCAACGGCTCTATTTCATGGGGGCTTCTATTTAGGCCCTATGGCCGGCTCTAGCTCACTCTCTTAGCTATTTTCATTGACATAGCAACCTTGTGAGCTAAGCCAAAGCCCTCCCACTCATCTCCATCATTGATTCATCATCTTTGTGAGATTGAGACTGAATCCAAATGCATTGCTTGAGTGATTGTATCTAGAGGCACTTGGTGATTGTGTTTCGCTGCGGGATTCGTTTGTTTCTCTTGGTGGTTGCCACCACCTTGATGGCTTGGTGCAGCAAGGATCGTCGAGCGGAAGGTGGTGATTGTCAGGGGTTCTTGACTTTTCCCCGGCGGAGAGCCAAAAGGTACTCTAATAGATTGCTCATAGCTTGTGGATCCACATCTTGTGTTGGTTGTGCGGCACCCGATTTGCGGGTTCAGCGTGTGATGCCTATTAGCGCATGAACCTTCAAGTTGGTGAATCGCTACAACGAGGACGTAGCTTGCTGGCAAGTAAGTGAACCTCGGGGATAAATCATTGTGTCATCTTGTCCTGAGGATTTCATTGGTCTTCTTGTGATTGATTGATCATCTCTTGCCACGGCGGTATAAACTTCACTACCTCTCTTTTATTTATATTTCTAGTGTAGGTAAGCTCTTTAGTGTAATTAGTTTTGAGAGCTAGCTTATGTCTTATCTAGTGGTTAGTGAGGCTCTTTAGTTAGTCTTTGAAAGCTCACTAATTTAGTGATAGTGACTTAGCTTCTTGTGTGAAATAGAGATCATAGATAACTAGAATTGTGGATAGGAGGCTTGTATTTTGAGTAGGCTAACGTAACACTCGCTTTGCTTCGTAATTGTCTAACCTCTCCGGCTTAAGTGTTATTGTAGAAATTTTTATAGGCTATTCACCCACATCTAGCCATTAGGACCTTTCACCTGGCGCTCATCTCATCATTAATTGCTGGAGGGTAGCGATAAGGACGGATGTAAAATGGTTGAGCCCTAGGTATGGAATGGCGTGATTGCACGCCCTTTATGGCGGCAAGGAATCTGGTGGTTGAAAGACATCACTGAACTCATCCAGTAGAGATTGCACTGCCGGTAGTAATGGTACAGAAGCTGCCTGAGTAGAAGATATATCTAGAGAACACACTTGCAAGAGCAACTGAACTGGGGATTCAGCCATATCACCGTGGAGGACTATGGAAGAGCCCTGATACGGAATAGAGAACCACTTGTTTTTCCAGTGCACAAGCATTGGGTTGAAGGACTCCAGCCAGTCCATTCCAATGATCATATCAAATGCAGTCAATGGTAAGACTCTGAGGTCCTATGTGAAAGTACACTGACCAATTGACCAAGGCACTTGCAGCAGAGTAGTAGAACTTGTTAACAAACCGCCACCGGCTATGTGAACCGAGCAAGGATCTGACTGGATTGACACGTTCTGAAGCTGAGCAGCAAGTGTTTCGCTGATGAAGGACGAAGAGCTTCCAGAATCCAACAACATGTTCATTGGGATACCCTGAATCGAGCCAGCGAACCGGACAGTGCGAGGAGCTGAGGACCCTGTCAGAGCACTCTGAGAAATCGCCAGAAAGGCTTGAGGCTCTGTTGGTGTAGGTTCAGAAGTTGCTAGATCTTGATCATCATCATCCGGCAACAAGTCCCATAATTCTTGTACATGGTGGAGCGGAATCTGAGGACTACACTTGTGGTCCTTACTCCATTTCTCTCCGCATTTATAGCAGAGTCCCATGGCACGCCGATAGGCCTTGACAGCCGATAACTTGGCGACGAGGGAAGGAGCAGCCGGCATCTCCGGACCAGCAACAACTGCCGCCGGCTTGTCGTTGCATTGAGGAGGCGGAGGCGGCAGCAGCCACGCCGTCTTGGGTGTGAACTTGCCCGACGACCAATCACCCTTGTACGGCGTGCCAGACGTCGGCGTAGTGCCCACCTCTTCCTGCACCGAAGCCATAGAGATGGCAGCATCCAAACTTTGGGGACGAGCAACAATAATGATAGCTTTGAGTTCAGGGCGAAGGCCATCGGTGAACCGCATGGTATAGAAGAGAGGATCAGTTGTGGAAGAATAGGCTTTGAGTTGATCAACAAGTTTCGTGAAGCGTTCCACATAATCTGTGATGGTAGTGGTCTGTTTGATTTGAAAGAGTTGGTGGATGAAGACTGCATGTTGATCACGGTCGAAGCGTGCATGCAGCGCTTGACAGAAGGCTTGCCAGGAGGCTATTGCAGGAGTATTGTCAATGGACTCATACCAGCAGGCAGCGTTGCCTTCCAAATACATGGAGAAAACACTAACCCAGACAGCAGGATCAACATTGTTCATGATGAAATACTTCTCACAGTTAGAGCGTCACAGACGGGGGTTCTCTCCCTTGAACTTGTTGAATGGAAGCTCAGGGAGGCGGCCATTGGGCTGGTGAGGTGGGTTATGCATAGTGGCGGGAGGGGATGGATATGGTGGTGGGTGAAAGGGAGGGCGAGGAGGAATGGTCACTGGTGGTGGTGGTGGTGGTGGTGGAGGGTGGTAAGGAAGAGGAGGTGGGGGTGCGGCATCGATGTTGAAACAGATGGAAATTGCGGCATCAATGTTGAAATAGGTGGAAATTGCAGTGACAAACTTGGGGAAGGTTCTGGATTCTTACCCGTGACCGGGACATTGGTCCAGGTCAACACGGACCCGAACCCAACATCCCGGTGAGAAGAAGCATCGCCGTGCCCACTGGGCGGAACAACGGTCGGTCCAACAAAGGTGCGGAAGCCGGCCGATGAGGGTAACGCGTCGACATTGAGCTATTGAGACGGGGCGTCAAACACCTTGCGGTCATGACCTTGTGATAGCTTCTTCACTTCGATCCGTAGGTCGTCGACGAGGGCTTCCACCTTAGGACGCCATGTACCGAGGTCCGTGGTGGCGACCTCTAGGGCAGTGACGCGGTCGTCGTGCTCAGGGTTGGCCGGTGCGACACGGGTTGCCTCTAGATCGGAGAGCCTGTTGGTGATGTCGGTGGAGATGGCGGAGCAGGTGGATTCGAGGGCTTAGAAACACTTGTCCACGGTGGCGGAGTGGTCGGCGCGGGATTTGTCGAGGTCGGTGAACCGGCGCGTCCACTGCTCCTCGTGCGCATCAAACCGGCGATTGAAGTCTTCCTTCGACTTCTGGATTTCGTCGAGGATGATCTTCAATTGGGGATCCAGGGCTCCTAGGGTTCAGCGAAGGCGGGGTGAAGTGGTTGTGGTGGATCTCGTGGGGTTCCAGCTCGATTGGGAGTTCACGCCGCCGATCACAACGACCTCGACACGGACCTACGGGTTCCACGAACCACACCGAAGTGAGGACGAGGATCAACCAGTCGTCGGGGCTTACATTGCCGGATCAAGGAGGAGCGAACAGGGAGAGCGAGTAGGATCGAGGGAGGCGAAATCCGATACCAATTGTGAGCAGGAATTGCTTGCTCGGGAAGAAGAATAATAATAACGAGGAACGGAATGTACTTTACTTAATACAGATAAGTGCTTGTAAGGTAAAGGAAATAACTGGGTACATTCCGGTCTAGTCTCTCCTCTCTCAGTTCTGGGACTTATACCCCTACGCTTCCCACTCCTGGCCGTAGATCCTGATGTTGCGCCAGCGCTTGCGAACGGGCCGGGCCTGCTCCCCTGTTGTCGTAGCCTCTTCTGATGGGCTCAAGGAATCAGGGACAGAGTTGCTGATAGAACTGCAACGAACGATGTTACGGATAGCACGATTCAATTCCTTACTAGTTAATCAACGTCCCGTAATGACATGTGTATCAGCATTCGCTGGCTTACTAATCAACTTTCCAAATGACAGTTCGGTTCCTATAATAACGTAAAAGATGCAAGTGTAGCTGTTAGGAGTGGCTGTCTAGTGGGCCCGAGACAGGCTGTCCATCTAGCAGCTACAAAAGGGAACCGAGAGCAGGCCATCAGGGCATCGAACAAATATCATATTAGAAACCTTCTCTAGTTTGTTTACTGTTCTTCTTCCTCCTCAAGTATCTCCCTCTTCTGTATCCAGATTTCCCTACTGCTGCTGCTTACTACTACTTCTAGTCTACTTCTTCGATCTCGTACTCTCTGCCTTTCCAAACTCCTTTCTCAGATTGTATCGGACCAGTTATCATTTATTGATCGGGGCTGTGCAATCGGGTTGCTAACAGTAGCGCGTATATAAAAAACTAGCAATAGCTAGTTGTACTCCTATAGTAGTTAGTAGATGCAGGCGATATAATCATCAGTTCAAACGGGGAACTTGTACGTACTGCAGTTGGAGGGAGAGGCGGCCGCCGAGCAGCTCATCATGAGGACGACTGGACGAGAGCCGCGAGCAGCAGAGCTCGAGCCTTGGCCCTCCCTTCGGCCCATTCTCAATCTCAAACGCAACGACTGTTGCCCTGTTTACTTACTTATAAATCGTATTTTTCATCTAATAAATAATATTTTTTTCTCACAATAAATCAGTTAAAGAGTCATATCTTATCAGCCGAATGGGACACGTGCATTTGCTTGGTCGTCTTGTCCGTGCGTTCTTGGTGGGAGAGATATCACGAGAGTCTCGTTCAACTTACCCCATATTCAGCTTGTTTGGCTTGTTTTTTTAGGTGGAACAGTATTTTTTTTCACGACAATTCAACCAGAACATTGTTTTTAGCCAATTTCAGCCAAGATTCAGCAAACCGAACGGATTTATAAGTGCACGGAACATCTAAAAGTCAACGACTGGCTTGTGTTAGGCTGGCCCTGTTTTTAGAGCTTTTGACAGCCACGGCTAATATTCTGCTCTTGCGTTTCAAATTGTAAGTTAATTTATTTATTTTATTCTAAATTAAACTTTGGTCAAGTTTATAGAAAAATATATTTACATCTATGCTATTGTATCAAAAAAATTATTTTACAGTGTTGCAGATATTCCAACCACGAGCATATGACCCAAATCTTAAATCAAATGAATTCCAAGACACGTAATAAGTATTAGTGCAATAAAAAATTAATCTTGTACGAGAAATATATAGGAGAGTTATTAACGGTGCCATAATATAAATAAACGTTTAAAACCACATATTAAATTCCAACACATGTTCGCTGCGCCCATGCCAACCGACGATGTGCACAACCTGCTACTATCAAGATGGTTTACTTCAGTGATGGACATTGACCTCGAACGAGCTGCAGAGCGAGTGTTCGATCATTAGCTGGCGGCAGTTGTTTCGCCACCCCCACACCACAAGGAACTACTAATAAACTCTGGTGTTCGCAATTAGTATATCAGGTCTTACAAATCGTGTTTCTATTGAGAGCAAGTATAATAAAACCAATTAAGTCAACTTGTCAAAGAGAGTGTTTATATGCTTTTGGAATGGTAAAACTTTTGTCTCTAATCTTTTGCTGCAAAATTTTTGTCATTCAAACTTTACATCTAGGTGTTTAAATACATGGTAAATGTTTAACACTGTAAGTTCAGTCTACAGCTCACGCCCCAAGGCGTTTTTGCTCATTTTGGGCCTCTTGGTAGCAAATGACAAAAGTTTAGCTGACCATGTTTTATTCTTTTTTGCCCATTGCTGTTTAGATCAATTTTGCCAAAAGATAGACTAAAAGTATTAAAGTTTTGATAAAAGATGTGAAATAAACAGGACTTATTAGTTAAGATACCCGTTCGCTGATCTAAAACTTGACTGGAAACACTGTTCTGGTTGGCTTGTTGTGAGAGAAAAATATTGTTCGATTGGTTTGGTGAATAGTAAACTATGAGGAGGATCGGCCGGCTGACTGGATGAGTCGAGACCAAGACCCTTAGCAAAATGGGATATTTGGATTGGTACCATTGCAATTCTTCCAACTTTGAGATGTACCATTACAATTCGCGAAATCTGAAATATACCATTGCAACTCTACGTTTCGCTGAACCATACCATTGTCTACGTATGCTAGCAGCTTGGGCCCATTCTCAGACATACGAGTACCATACGTATTTTAGTATGGACATTTCTGCCCCTGACTCCATCCTGATAGACCCTCTGCGATCTAGCCAGTGGACCGATCCATCCCTTTTCTCCAGCTCGCGATTTTTCTCCTTCACGGTCCGTACAGCACGCCCGACGGCCGGTCGCCGCCTCGCCCCATCGTCTTGTGCCGCCGCAAAGAGGACACCGGTCGCCGCCCTCGCCCCATCGTCCTGTGCCGCGGACTCCAGCTCTTGTCGGGCACCAAGGAGCCGGGGCCGGGCCAAGGTGCTGGCGCCGCCGGAGGGCGCGTCCGGCGGCCATGGCTGACCCGACGGAGGATGCCAGTGAGGAGAGGTATGGATCTCGATCCTCTGCTTCTATGTCTTCAATCCATGCATGGTTGCAAGTGGGTAGAGGAATTGCGCTGCGCTGACCCTAGTGTTTTTTGTCGATTTTTTTCCTGCTAGGGTTCGATTGTTGACCCTAGACAGTTGGCCATCCAAAATCGCAGATGTTGATGCATTTGCTGCCCTAGAGCCTCTGTGTGTGTTGCCTCCTGATTCACAGCCAAATATGAATGAGAACCATAATCCAAATCATGTTGAGCAGCCTACTACTCCTGTTAGCCCTGTTGCCAATCCTATTGCTGAGCCAGATGAAGGAGCAGAGCATCCTTCTGTTACTGAAATAGAGCCTGATAGAGAGCCAGACATGTTTGATAACGAGGAGGAGTATGTGGGCGTCGATGATGAGTCAATGTACATGCCAGTACCTCCTCATCAGAACACTAACAATGCACAGGCTACTAACCATACTCCTCCAGCACCATGTTTCAATGCTGATGCAACTGTTGGTGGTCCTGCTCAAGGAGGTGATCCTCTTGAGGCAGAGGTTGATGATGCAGATCCACTCGAGGTCCATGTGATACATGATCCAGAGAATCCCAACATTGTCAAGGGAGCGCGGTTTCCTGATATTGTTGCATTCAGAAAGGCAATCAGGCATTACGTAGTGAAGAAAGGCTTTGTGTTTGCTGATCTGCAAACTGATCCAACAAGGTTTATTGCCAAGTGTAAAGCAGAGGGGTGTCCTTGGCGCATCCATGCTTCTAGGATTTTTGACGGCAAGACAATAGAGGTAAAACTGCCAGTAGTATTGGTGTATGATTTCTTATTTATGCAATTGACACCATATTTCTTATTTGTATAACTGACGACATGCTGCTCTTGTTTGTGTAGATCAAAAGACTACCTTTCGATCACGACTGTCCTAGCACCAAATTCCAAGAAGGAAAGACAGCCACCCAAGGCTGGTGTGCAGATAGGTTGGCAGATTGGCTCAAGAAGAATCCAACCAAGCGTGCATCTGACTACAGGGACAAGTTGGAGACTGACTTTGGCATCAAACTGAAGTACTCCAAAGCCTGGTCAGGTATGAAGGTAGCAATGGACAAGATACATGGGAAATATGAGGACAGCTTTCAGTTGCTTTTTAATTGGGCTTTTCAAATTAAGCAAGTTTCTCCTGGTAGCATAGTGGAGATAGATTTGGAGAAGATTGAAGACAAATACAGGTTTAGGAGGATGTTTGTCGCTCTTAGACCATGTGTTGACGGATTTTTGGCGGGGTGCAGACCTTTCATTGGTGTAGATGCTTCATACTTGCATGGTAAATATAAAGGTCAATTAGCTTCAGCTACTGGTGTGGATGGACACAATTGGTTGTACCATATAGCTTATGCTTTTTTTGAGTCAGAAACTGAAGACAACTGGAAATGGTTTCTGCAGCAGCTGCGTAAGGCTATAGGAGGTGTGCCAAATCTGGTTATATGTACAGATGCATGCAAAGGATTGGAGACTGCAGTGGGGGCTGTTTTCCCAGAAGCTGAGAACAGGGAGTGTATGAGGCACTTGTATCAAAACTTTTTGAAGAAATATTCTGGTGATGTGATCACTGAACACTTGTACCCTGCAGCTAAAAGCTACACATTTGGTATGTGGCAGTGGCATATGAAGAAAATTTTTGAGTTTGAACCAAGGACCATTGATTACCTTGAGCAGCACCACAATAGGATATGGCGAAGGAGTGCCTTCTCAGAGAACAGCAAGTGTGACTACTTGACAAATAATGTTTCAGAGAGCTTCAATGCACAGATAAAGAAGTTTAAAGGATTGCTATTGCATGAATTGGTTGATAGAATCAGAGAACTCATAATGGAGACAAGATACAGAAGGAAGATGGTTGGTATGCAGTGGGCTGATGGAATACTCCCTAATGTGATTAAGGACCTAAACTTGATCAGCAATAATGTTAAAGTGGTGAAGGTAGCAGTTTGTGATGTTGATGTTGCTGAAGTAACCATCTTGGATGACTGGCATAATCATAGGAGGGAAACAGTTGACCTCCAGAACCACAATTGCTCCTGCAGACAGTGGCAAGTGACAGGGAAGCCATGCAAACATGCTTTGGCATGGATTCTATCAAACAGAGGGCTGAGAATTGAAGATTATGTCCATGAATACTACTCAGTTGCTAGGTTCAAGGCAACCTATGCGGACAGAATTGAACCTATCCCAGATAGGTCTCAGTGGCCAGTTGTAGACCTAGGATTCAAAGTGTATCCACCCTTGCTAGGAAGAGGAGCAGGAAGACCAAAGGTGGCCAGGCAAAGAGGATGTTTAGAGAAAAATGCAAACAAAAAGAAGGTCAAATGTCCGAGATGTGGAGATTTCGGCCACTTTCAAAAAACTTGCAAAATGCCAGAGGTCGGAGAAGATGGTGAGAGAGCTCCTCCAAGGAGCAAGGCGGCCAAAAGGTATGTTTTTGTGCACTGAATATTTGTCTCTTTTTTCATTACACTAAATATGTAACGTGCGCTAATCACAGTTTACACGCTTAAAGGCTCCTGGTTAAATCATAATTAGGAATAGTGGCTAGGACAGAAACCAAGTAGGGCACTTGATGTTCAGAAAAATGGCATTCAGCTAATTTCGCCCAACCAACTCATGAGCAAACTAATAGAAATCTTGTTGACCTATCAGTGTCTGAATGGTTACACATTTTCTCTTGCTGTGTTGAACCTTATTGTGTTGAACATAACAAATGAATTACTAGTTAAGATTTCTATGGTCAGCTAATAAGCACCACTCTCATGCATTCCTGTGCAATAACCAAAGCAAAAATAGAAACCAAAAAAGTAAAACTAAATTCAAGGTAACTATTGAAATGAAATGCATGCAAGCAACAAGATTAGTGCTCAAGATATAAGCGGCGACTTCAAGAAATACACACGCAATGTGCTCCTAGAGTCCTAGTTAAAACATTTTACCATCCTGTAATGTGAACTGAACTTGCTCACATAGACATCTTACTTGATTCCATACTGGCAAAGGATTAGAGCACTTAGCCACACATATGAATTCTGCAGCGTCAGAAGAGATAGCAGGGTAGGTTCATCAGTGACAGAATACTTCACTGTTCTAGATGATTTAAATTGAAACAGAGTTTGTGCACTGAATATTTGTCTCTTTTTTTCATTACACTAAATATGTAACGTGCGCTAATTACAATGTAGGAAAAGAGCTCGCACAGAAGAAGCTGGACCCTCACAAGCCAAGAAGAAGAAGAAGAAGAAGAAGAAGAAGAAGAAGAAGAAGAAGAAGGGCACCCCCAAAAAGAAGAAGACACCCATCAAGAAAAAGCTCCTGAAGGCTACAGCCAACCATCCTGCTACTGAACCTTCTAGCCTCAAGAGGCTGGTCTTTGGAGAATAGAGGCTTATGATATGCTTGTGCTGCTGTGGTCCAACCTTTTGTAATAAAATTACCTACAAATCCCATAAAAACTGAAAAATCCAACACAATTTGCTTTGACTCTGCATTGGGCTCAAGCTTTGGCTCAGCTTTCGTCTCAGCACCTACCAACGCCTTCGGTCTCCAAAGTTCACCTACAACCATGGCGACTGTTTTCTTCGCCTCTTCCAATTCTGCTACAAGAATGGCCAGTGTTTTCTTCACCTCTTCCAATTCTTCCTTCAATTCTATGTAACAGTCACTTGAAGCTGACTGCCCAACCTGCATCTGGCGTTCTGCAGCTTCTAAGGTCTCATACTCCTTCTCATTTTGGATGAAGCCACAGGTAGTATCATCATCCTATGATCACAACATAATGCACCAATCAGACTTAACATCAACACATAGCGCTAAAAAATGTCAACAATGCTAACCTTTATGTTGTAAGGGCACTTCAGGAACCACTGGCCCTTTGTCGCTGTCTGCTTGCTTTGGATCCTAACCAGAGGAACATGGCAAAAGGGGCACTGCCTTGTGCCGCTGCCCGTCGAGCTCGAGGCTGTCAAAGTGTGCTTCCTCGGACTTGAACTCCACCGAGCGGCCATGGCTGGCCTCGCCTGAACCGAGGGAGAAGACCGCGGGCGGGGGCGGTCGAGGGAGGAGAGAGCAGCTTGGGCGACCGCGGTCACGCGACAAGCCGCGAGCAAGGCGAGCTGGCATGGAACGCGGTGGGTGGGCGGGCGCGGGGCGGCGCGAATGAACGGCACGGCGACGGCGCGACGACTTGGCGCTGCAGGCGCATGGCAGGGCGCTGGTGGGCGACCAGCGCGACATGAACGGAGCTCGACGGCGCGCGACAAAGGCGCGTCTGCAGCCGCAGCTTGGCATGGCGATGTCTTGGGCTCAGCGCGGCGCGGCGAGGGGCTCAGGCTCAGCGGCACGGTGGGGTACGTGACGGCGGCGTGGCGGGCTCAGCGAGCCAGCGGCCTCCAAAGACGTGATGGCTAGGGTTAGGGTTTGATTGGCGCACGCCAAGCATAGTCAAGGAGAGGGAGAGGAACAGAGTGAAGGAGAGGAAGAAGAGTGAGCTGGGGCCACGATTGGGACGGGGGCGGCGCTGGATCTATCAGGATGGAGTCAGGGGCAGAAATGTCCATACTAAAATACGTATGGTACTCGTATGTCTGAGAATGGGCCCAAGCTGCTAGCATACGTAGACAATGGTATGGTTCAGCGAAACGTAGAGTTGCAATGGTATATTTCAGATTTTGCGAATTGTAATGGTATATCTCAAAGTTGGAAGAATTGCAATGGTACCGATCCAAATATCCCTAGCAAAATCTTAGGTGGGAAAAAGAAAATAGGAGAGAGAACGTGCTGGTCGATGTGTCAACCGGCTGGTCGCGACATCCGAGGTTGGCGTGCATGGGGCCGGAATCGATGGTAGGCTACATCCGAGGTTGGCGTGCATGGTTGGTTTCAGAGGAGACAAAATGGGTAGTGGCAGGTCCCACACAATTTAAAAATGTTTTCAAAACCTGTGAAGAACCTTGGTTATTGTACGATTGCCTATAGAAGTAGTCTACACATCAGCTATTAGACAAATTTATTAGGCTTCTCTCAGACGTGATGAGTTTATATATTTCGACCCTTGAGCTGCCAACCAAACACCTGTAATGACATTTATAAAACCGATCCGTTTCAATCTTAATCGGGTAAGAAGTGATATTATAAATAGCAAGAATACTAATTATAACAAGATCGATAACTAGCAAATCTATTAAAAACAGTAAGAAAACCCTACCAATCTTAATAGATTTAACTGATAACTGATTTGTATCAAAATTTGTATGAGATCGAGCCGGATCGATGCAATCTTACAAATTTTGATAAGAATTGAAGGGTAACTTGTATCAGGAATTGTATGAGATCAAGCCAGATCGATGCAACCATACAATTTCTGATAAAAGTTGATAACTAACTTATACAAAGTTTACAAGAGGTCGGCCGAACCGATGCAGCCTCATAAACAAAGTATAAGTCGTTACGGATACTCACAAAACAAATCGAAGGTCGGACCTAACCGATGCAGCCCTACTTGCTCGAAGAACTCCCTGAGATCTACTCTACTCCTCCTAAGGGATAGCGTAAGCCGAAAAGTAAAAGTTCTGATTTGATTGATCGATGAGAGATATCTTATAATTTACCGTAACCCTTTATATTTATAGGGTGCCGTCCTAAAGACATACGACTACATGTATACTGAATAAAATGTTCCTCTCCTAGTATAATCCTACTTCGTTAGTTGATCTGTTTGGTTTTGCACACGAGACGTACGATTGCCTAAAGAAGTAGTCTACACATCAGCTATTAGACAAATTTATTAGGCTTCTCTCAGACGTGATGAGTTTATATATTTCGACCCTTGAGCTGCCAACCAAACACCTGTAATGACATTTATACAGTTACCCAAAGCCAGTAAATAGTGATCCCACCACAACCTATTACCATTTTCATTTGCATCACCAGTTGCCGACCAAACAGCACTATAAACTTGAGCACGAGAAATAATCATTTGTAAGCTGCGATTGCTTACCAAGTACCGGGCATTATTTAGACCTTATATGGATATACTCATGTTCACCTCGTTCCACATGTGTTAAAATGGATTAGGATAGAAAATTGACTAATTTTCAATTCAACAAATGTTGGATTGAGTTTTCAAGGTTCAATGACCGCTCCAGGGTTCCAAATAATTTGACCTACATCAGGAATCTTAATGCCAGTGTCATAGTACACTATATACCATCTGATGTAATTTGCTTAGAACAAATCTTTTCTGACATGGCATAATACACCATAGGATACAATGCGACTGGGTCATCTTGCATACTAACTTAAATTGGTTCAGACTAGGTATCATGCCCCACCAAGCCACCATACTAACCATGGACAACCAAGATCCACAGGTTGGTCAAAAAAAGAATGCATTAGAACTCAGTACAGTATATACATACATGCTATTCACTTATTGCATTCCTATGAACAAAATTTAGGGCTCAGGCTCTACTGGTCATCGATTACATATGCTTTATCCAACTTCTTCTCTAGTGACAAAGGGGCAGAGAAATTTAATGGCGAGAACATGTCGTCATATTTGGATTTGGGGGCAGGCTTGAACTCGTAAGGGCCAACCTTGGTTCCCCAAACCTGAGCAAGTGAGCACATTGTCAAGATTCTCTTTCACACAATCTTGGCAGAACAACTGGAACACTAACAAGTGAAGATATATGCAAATCACCTGGTTCCCTTCATCGTCAAAGCCTTTGTCCCAGATATGTACTTCACCGTTTTTGTGGATGGACAAATCCGATATACAATATGATGCACCATTCTATAAAATGTCAATGTTGAGATGGGAACAAGCGAAACATTGCGGACAAGGATTACCACTAGTGAGCTCTGATGTAGTATTAAATTAAAAAGATGTCTGCAAATTATTCAGTCAGAAAGAGAACTGAATATGCTGAATTGCTAATTGAGAGGAGAGCAATTAGCTCACCCAGTTGTTGGGAAAACCTTCAGGTGGGGTAGATCCTTCATATAAGCAACGTTTTCCACGGCCACACCGTGACAAGTGTATGGTGGTTAGATGCTCTGCGATATCCTGAACACCCAAGGTAAACCTAAATACTAGAGCAATATATAAGATACCTAGGGTAACATTACACAGTCCCTTGTGTGAATAAAATGAACATCACAAGTTGTATGAAGCTTGAGCTAGGAATGTACTATGCAAAGCTATATCATCAGTCAACACATGACTCCATATAGAGTTACAGTGTAGATGTGAATACAGCTTATGGAATGCATTAAAACTAAGTGGTTATGTCGCATAAAAAATGGGAGACCATGCTCTTTTCCATGCAGGAACTGGTCCTCATCAGTCATCCTAGTATTACACTAAGTGAAGCACATAATGGCTTGGATTTAGGTCAGGAGTAGCACAACAGCATTGAAGTCCATATTCAAAACACCAAAGGCTGCAAATGAATACTAAAAGCAAAAATGGTGATCCATGGCTTATCAATCATATTGAAAACCCATTGAACTACCCTACATCATCTTTGGTCTGGTGACAGATGGGATCCCTCCCTTGATAATACAAATAAAAGCATTTATATTTCCTGTGGATTCATTCATTCATTCATTGGCAACTCCACCTGGTCCCTAATTCCCTTTACACACATTAATATGCACAGGGTGACTAAGAATAATCATTAAGCTGATTGGATTTACCTAATTGTTGTAAAATATTTCCATCATTTCATTTGCAGCTGTCCCTCAAGAGTTTAGTAACCAACAGTCATGAGTAAATGAAGGGGGAAACTTCACAAGCAAACATTCTGAAAAGTAAGATTGTGTTCGGACATGACATACCGCAATTACTTCTTCTGGCTGTGGCCTCTGATCCTTTTGACTGTCACAGAAATTCTTGTACTCTTCAGCATCCCCAATTGCATATGAACTCAACTGTCCATTGAAAAAGAAATTAAAATGTTATTTAGTCAGCTTTGCCTGCAAAGTTGTTCTAAAATATTAATATCTTCCAGTTTTCCTAAAAGCCGGAACATGGATGAGAAGTTGCATTACTTCAACTTCAACCAAGATTTTAATGCCACAGCCATTGTAGACACCAGAAAACAAAAGGTAATGATTCTAGATATTAATAGACTCACTCAAATGTTATTAATGCCACAAAAAAATAATTGTCAGAACAATCAAATAAAAGAAGCACTGTAGAAAATACTATGTGCTCTAAATAGATCATTTTATGCTCCCCACTATGGACAAGTTGCATCACACCAAGCTTTTTGAGTAATCATTAAGTATACCTAACCACTTGTGTATTGAACATGAGAACTGCAACTGTGGGAATGTCCTTAAATAACATCATGTTTTGGAACCAGATGCATAGTTTTCCTAGTTTATAGTTAAATAGGAATAGGATATACCATTTGCTCAAATAGTCTTTTTTTTTGACAAAGTCAAAAGTAGAGGAGAACGAACTGAATACTACTAGTAAATTCTGATAAATATTAGTAAAGATGCATTAGTTTGTTCAGTACATCAACTTCACGACATTGCAGATCTCAGAGGAACTATGTTAAATTTGAGCTCACCTCAACATCGCATTTCATCTCCTTCGGACAAGGCTTTACCATGTAAAATCTCTGGAGGGACCAGAACGTATCATTATTTGCACATACGTAGAGCACATAAGATATTGGAAATATAGAATGGACACAGAAGAACAGAAATCCAAATTTAATCTGAATACTATCCTATCAACAGGCATATGAAGCCTTTCTTGCAGAATAATGGAACCACATTCTCAATACTACAAACTAATGGCATCATCAGATCATTACAGTGGCCAAACAAAAGCATTACACATTGCTAGAATATATAATGCAAAATGGCAAAAAAATGTTTAATCTGGTTAGGTTAACCAGGAAGAAAGGATTTAAAAGTAACAGGAAATAGTCACATGGGTGTATTGGAAGTTCATCAAAATAGTGTATGAGTAAAATAAAGCATTTGAGCAGAAGATTCTTATGTGTCTGCAATGTCAGATAATATAATATCATCTTGTTTAGACTATATTGACTAGCATAACATTATATAACTCAGGACTTATAGAAAATAATATCCTACATATGAATTGGTAAGGGCAAAAAGGAGATATTTTGGAGTGACTAATACAGTTTAGAGTTACTTACTTGTCTAAAAGGCTTTTCTGGAGATCTCCAAAATGCCTGGAAAGGAAACCATGGAATTGAGATACAAAAAAGGGGCACTGTAATAAAGAAGAATTGGTAGAGATAATGATCATACCTGCTCAAAGTAAAGCACCCTTGAACCATCCACCATCTCGGTTGCACGACATGTGAGCATTCTGAAAATAAAAGAAGGCTGAATTGCAACGCAGGACATTTGTCACTACAAACACGTCAGCACATGCTTAAAAAATACTTGTCTCATGCATGGAAAAAGTGAGTTGAAAAGGATTTAAAAAAAAGAACAGCAAATGTACATGATTATGGGTGTGTAAACAATTTTTTGCATCTTAAGTGCAGATAAACAGCAATTCTTCTGCATAATTAATGCTTATCACTTCTACGGTTCTACCAAGTTACTTACATCCAAGCAAAATATTCATAATGAGTCAATGATAACAGCAGACTAGAAAGAGCAATCAAGGATACAGTTAAAGAAAACCATAACAGGTCAGTGTAACCATTCAGTCACTGATCCATGGATCGACCAAAAGAACCTTGTCCAAGGTTGAAAACACTGGATCAAAATTATGAATTCTACAATAAACATGGATCCTTTTAAAGGATATATAGTTTCATAAACAATTTGCTCAAGGTTGAAAACTTGAAATACAATACAAGACGACATAGCATTTTCACATCCAACAAAAGTACAAAAGGTTTGTTAACCATCAATGATTTATCAAGTTCCATCGTTTGTGCAGCCCCCACTGCATATTTGCTAGACGATTCTGTATGGCGCTTTAATTATAAATTTCGGCTGACACAGACAACAACAGGTAGAAAGTACAGAAGTAAATCATTTAGAAAGAATGGCTGTCCTCAATCGACTATTATATCAATAGATACTAGTACAAGATGATCCCAGAGCATCAAAACCCAACAAGAAGAGATCAAATCAAAACAGTTCGAGTGTTCATACCAATTGTGACAAGTATTGCATTTTCAAATTGATGTGCTTTATACATATCCAGCAACTTGTAAAAGAACAGACCCATAATCACCAAAGCTAAATTATCACAAACCATGGTCAGCAACATTTATGCTTATCGACAATGTGAATTGCAGTGATCAACACAGAAAGTTTGCAGGGAATATTCAATTGATGTGCTTGTGCATATACCACCCTCCGAAAACAAGCCTACGATTAGTTCATAGATACCACCAAAGTATCAGACCAGACCCAAGGCAAAAAGCCTAATCAAATGGGCAGTGGAAACACTAGTATCCGAACAAAGAAAAAAGAATACAGTGCTTTTGTTAGAATAAAATTCTGACCTCAAATTGAAGAAGTTGTCAGGATCCTTCCTCGCCTGCTCCCTCGAGAACTGTACATCAGGAAACGCATTAAGACACAAGCATTTCTTTCCTCTATCTACGTTCAGAAAAAGACGCCGCCGCATCGGGATTTTTCTCCTCGCGGCACAAGAAAAAGGACGGAATTTTTCTGACGAATTCTCAGTGCGGCCGCATCGGAATGCCCCCGGGAACCAAACACTTCTCCAGGGAGGGTGGCGGGGTCACCTTTTCTCCGGAGAGCGCGTCGGCGACGGCTCGCGCGTAGTCCCAACGGGTGGTGGAGCGGCGCAGGCGGCGGAGCAGCAGGGCGCCGCCGACGACGACGAGCGCCTTCAGCACCGCGCCCCGCACCACCCCTCCTCCGCCTCCTGTGTCTTCCTCGCCGGAGCCCATCGCTGGGGCTCCTTCCACGGCGGCCGCGCGAGGGCCTGGCCGAGACGGAGCGGGGATTGACTGGGGAGTAGGGAGGAAGAGGAGCCGGGGAGGAAATTCGCGGTTTTTCGAGGGGTCAAGGGTGAGTTGGGGAAATGGAGATGGTTTTTCTGTGGACCACGGAAGCTGTTGGTCGAAAGAAAACCCAAACTAATGGAGGACAAATTTTCCCGGCGGGTGTCCTCTTCTCGGCTTGGGCTTTTAGCTAGGCAGGGGCGCTCGGTTAACCGTGGATCGGTTCGGTTCTTCGGTTTTTAATGAAATTCGGTTAGTAGAGAACTAAGAACTAATCGATTAGCTACAGAACTTGGAACCGAAATTTTAGTCTCAATTAGTTCGGTTCGGTTTTAGTTAAAACATGGCGCTCAAGATCCGTCCCTTCTTGGCCCTCGCCGGCACCACAATTGCTAGATGCTGGAGACGGCCGTCGCCACCCCGCACATTGTAAGCCACCGCCGTCGCTGCTCACGCCCGCTGGGAAGGCAGCCACCACCACGCGTGTTGTTGGAGCTCGGCTACTCGGACCCGCTGGAAGGGCGCGCCGATGCTGTCGCGCGCGCTCGCTGGTTGTCCACCGCTCGTGCGGTCGCGCCTGCTGGGAAGGCCACCATCGTCGAGCGCACCTGCTACAAGTCCACCGCCGCCGCGCTTTCCTACTCGGGATTGAGCCTCGCTCTGCTCGCCGCCGTGCGAGGCCGCAGGCGAATCAATGGAGGAGAGGGAGCCAAGGAGGCCAGGCCGTAGGAAAATAGCTCTGAGCTGGTGACCCAATGTGGTGGGCTAGTGGCGGCCGAACAGGATGCGGCGGCTGGGAGGAGGTGGGGTTGGACAGGTGGTTGGGGATGTGGAGTGGAGTGTTTATTATATACTAGAGTTTATGTAATAGGCTAGTTGGGCTGCATTTCTTTCATGGGTTTCTTTGGATATTTTGTTTTTTCGGTTAACCGAGGACAAGAAGCGATTAACCCAGTGAAATTCGGTTAGTTGAAAGCCGGAACCGAAATAGAAACCGAATATTTCGATTTCGGTTTTTTGGTTTTGGTTTCGGTGATTTCGGTTCAATTATCGGTTCTCGGTTATTTTGCCACAAAAGCTGTTGGTTCAAAGAAAACCCAAACTAATGACAGAGAAATTCTCAAATTCCGGTGGGTGCCCTTCTCAGTTTGGGCTTTTAGCATCATCGCTCCCGGTATTCCTACTCACTCGTTGTTGTCTTTTTACAAAAAAATTACATCATACTTACTCAAACAAGAAACTTTTAATTAGTTATCTATCTATATCTCCAAAGAAATAAATCCACCACCAACCGGATGACACGGCAGGACCATCGACGACAATGAGAACGAGGAGGGGGGCAGCCCCAGCGCCAAGGCCAAGGAACTTCAGAGGCAACACCTCCAACGAGGACCGCAACGCAGATAGCACCACCGTTGCCTGTCTTGAAGGGACCAGGTTTTCACCCCAAAGATCCGTGCCAGGAGAAAGGTGCAACAATAGACGCCTCCAAGGAGGGGTCAGCGCCAAAAGGGCGTCACCATCGTCGCCCAAACAGCAAGGCTTTCGCCTAGCACCCAACTACCACTACACCACAGCCCCAGAATAGCGATGCACCATTGGTCGCTATAGGTGGATACAGCGACGCACTATCGGTCGGTATAGATCTATGCCAACACTTAACCGCTACCGCTGAAAGTGGCGTCGGGATAGGGTTATACTTTTAGCGACCGATAGTCTGACGAAATGCTGAAGCAATACCGACCAACAGGCTGATGGCATATAGTAGTTTTACCGTCCAACAGTTCAAGGCTAAAGGGATTTATACCAACCAACAATCCAACGCATAGATCACATGACGTAAAAATACATTATTAATCTCACATTAACCAAATTACAGTATTCTTTTAGACACAAAACGTACAAGGTCACATTCAACATGAGACACAAAATCGAGTCACAATGACATAGCTTAGATTTCATTCATGCCAATTGGTACATGTAATAGTCATGCTGGGTTGCAAACCTCACAGTAACATGAGACACCAAATTACAGTATTCTTCACAACACACAAGTCTGGCTTGCACACCTCACAGCTAACATGCCCAAGGAGTTCTTTACAAAATGTTACATCATCCAAAGCAACTAGCATCCATCCCCAAGCAGTTCTTTACAAAATGCTATATCATCCAAAGCAACTAGCATCCATCGATGTTTCATCTCCATCTTACAAAATGTTTGATCTGCTTGCTGACAAAAAATAATCACGTTACATCTAGCGCCTTCCACCTGAAAAATCAAATCATATTTTTCAGTTCCAACTTGTACTGTAGTACTTTGTTCTGTCAGATGTAGCGTTCCAATTGTGCTTCTAGTAAACTGTTAATCTCACCAAGGCGTTTCTAACTAACAGAGACATTGATGGTAGTTAGTTGAAGCTGATAGTTAGTTCAGCCAAAGATAAATTTTGCATAATCAAAACCATTTTTTGAGCTATTGCTTTGTCTATCATAAAAGGCAAGATAAAGTTACTAAGAGTAGCCATGAGCAGTTTTCTACCTGTCACTAAGATGGACTTGGCAAATCCACTGTTTATTATCTAACAGTTGTAACAAGTACAGGTTTATGGTGATGTGGTCAATTTGCTATTTTTAATCAATCAAATACATGTCGAGGACACTTAAAAAGAAGCATAATGTTAGTGAAAAACACTTTTTTTTTCAATCTGTGGACAGGGAGAACTCATTGGACCAACGCCACCGTGTCATGGGTTTTGAAGAATATATGCAAGAACTATTTCTCATTTATGAAACAATTAATATTAGATTAAAGAAAGAAACATAATATCATTCTCATGCTGATTAAAATAGGCTTGCACTAACTGCTATTTTTTGCAGGAAGCAAAACTACCATACAGCCTTGCAAGCCGGAGACACGTCTAAAACTTAACAAAACCAGGCATCACCGATATATGTAAATAATGTAATTTATTACATTGCTTTTATATGCAATAGCTGGACTCTTCATGGCTTTATATCGCGTGCAAAAACAAGCAGGAAACTTTTTAGGGATTCACAGTTGCTGGCATGGGTTCCCTTTTTCCTCATTCCGATGATTCAAGGTTATTAACTTAGTTCAGTGGATGAAAGAGGAGAACAGCAAGGGGGAGTCAGCCTTCGAGACAGGGCTGGGACACAGGTAACGTTTATGGTTACTGAAGCATCATAAATAGCAGTTTGATGAATATAAAATTAAAAAAAAACAGCCCAACAAATACATTCAGATGGCAATGAATAAGAACAAGCAGTACCAAATTCTTTTGATAGTGTGTTGTATGCATAGCAGGGTGTGTTTAGCATCATAAATTGCAGCTTGGTATAAGTAAAATTCAGGAAAAATACATACCTGCAGTAGACTTGGATGAATGTGATGCCTTGCTGACGTTCAACTATTACAAATATCATTAATTAGAAACTTTGTTCACTTATCACATATATGAATAAAAGAAACAAAGGAAAGTTTAGTTTATTACTCTATTGTAAGGCCACTGAATTGGCATTGACTTAGCATCAGCCAAAGTCTCAATGTCACCATAAGGGCGAGGTAGCTCTGTATCCCTTTTAATCACAACCTTCACAACAACTTCACAATACTGCTTTCCAAGAGGCTGGCCTCCTAGTACATTGGTTGGATTTGTTGAAATGACTGTTGCCTTAGCCACAGCTTCTGGCCAAAACAAGGCATATAATATGACCTCCTTTCCAACCTGAAATGGTTTATGCACTTGTCAGCAAAAATTGAACAAATGTATAGAACTAAAAGTAAGGTTATATTAAGAAAATTACAAGGTCAGCAGGTGAAACACGAGGAGGTTTATTCTTCTTTCGTGGGGCTACATTTTTTATGGGACTAGTAGCGCTGCACTCCCGACGAAGATCAATTAATTTTCCTACAGCACTATGCATAGAGGAGGCAGGAGCACGCTGCGTAGATGGGGTAGGAGTAGGCTGCATAGATGGAGAGGGAGCAGGCTGCATGGACGGGGCTGCAGCTTCCTACGCTGACGGGGCAGCAGTAGCTTCCTGCGCGAACGAGGCAGTAGCAGGCTGCACAGATAGGGCACGAGCACGCTGCGTAGACAGGGCACGAGCACACCGCGCAGTTAGGAAGTTAGCATGCTGCTCAGATAGGGCAGGAGCACGTTGCGCAGATAGGGCAGCAACACGCGCAGATAGGGCAGCAGCACGCTGCACAGATAGGAAATTAGCATGCTGCTCAAAAACATCATCTTCGTCATAGTGGTCGCAGTTTTCATTAATATCCGCAAAAACATCATCATCTTCAAATGGTTGAGCATGATGTGCCTCATCAACATGTTCTTCAGACCTTGGGCTCTATATAAACAATACAAGAGGTGTAATATGTATTATTCACATGTCACCATGTTATCCGGCATAGGAAAGATAGATTATTCAATCATGACTTAAGTAATTCAAAGTCTTAAAGTTCTTTACCACATGGTTTCGTGAATTAGAACCGTTGTGTGAGGCGATTTCCATATTTCTTCTTTCTTGCACTATCCTTGCCTCGTGCAGTTCCTCTTCCAATTCTTGTATGCGTCGTTCTAGAGAAGCTTTGTCACTTTCAACCTTTTTACTAGCTAGAACTTCCATTTGGCTTGTAACACTTCAAACCAGGGGTACCAATATCTTGGGGAGTTGGTCCTAGACCCAAAGCACGAACACGCCCTCTTGGCTCCTTTTCTCCACAAGCAGCAGCAAAGACATCACCTTGCTGAATTGATCTTTCTGTCAACTCTGGGTGGGCTTCAACAACTGATTTAAGTTTGTTCTAGCAAAATGGAATATGGATGTTTATACACTAGAGAGAGATATTAGATACTAAAATTCTATTATGGAAAAGTTATGGAAAAGAACTTACAATTATTGGCTCTGCTTGTTGGGAT